TTCTTGAGTCAATATTCATTACCTAAAATGAGTAAGGAAGGACCTTGTCCTCCATGTTTATCTTTAGTAGCTATTCTTCCTCTCCAATCAACCTTTCCTTCAAGAACTTCACTCTTATCCTACAACCAAGATATTAGGAAAAAAATAATCAAGAAAACATAAAGAACTAAAATTCATATTATATAAATCAATATGGAGAAATTGAGAAATGAGAAATGGATTAAGGGTATGTTCGGTACGAAGAAAAATATTTTTCAGTGCATTTTCCATATTCGATTGGTTAAAAGTTTTGGAGAACATATTCTCTACGAAAACAAGTTTCTTAAAAATGAGTAAATGAGTTCTCTAGTGGAAGTTGGAAAAACAAATTTCACATTAATGGCGTCCTCCTCGCCCCATCTCCACCATCCAACGTGCCTACCTCCATACGGCCTCCACCTATCATAATATTTGTCTATATCATATACAAATAATTTTAAAATAATTTTTTGATTACGTATCGAGCACACACAAAAATAAATCTACTTATTTTCTAGGAAATTATTTTTCTTCGTACCGAACACAACATATATAAATGGAAAATTAAGTACCATAGCTACTCAAAAATTGTGATCCTAATGCAAGCAAATAGAAGAACAATATTAGAGTGGCAATAATTAGGGTGAATGTTAGTACTATTTATTTAAGAGATAATGAGATATTTATTTACTATACTTAGCAAGTGGTGACAAAAATTCAAAATCAAAAGAAACCTCTTTTTGCTGCCGTCTTTGAAAGAGAGATTCTCATGAATAAATGAAACATTCAAAATAATGCTCAGAAGAAGGTGACAATAAATCATACTATCAATTTTCATTAGAATAATCCCTTATTAAAAAAAAGAGATAATCCCTTCGTTTAGTTAAGGTATGTTACTGGAATTTTGATCATAGTCTAGAGGTATTTGTGCCTTATCCCACTAAAAAAATAAAATAAAATCATATAAGTAGTTAATATATATATGAAAAGAAAGATATATATATAATGGGTGAAGTTACTCGTAATGGTGTGAGCCCTTCCGGTGAAAATCATGTGAGTTCGGTTCAAAGAGGATAATATCGCACAATATTATATATTAAGAGTATCTTTGGATTAACTAGACTATGGTTCCGCAAGATGAGTATGGAGATAATGAAGTAATGGCATGAGACTCGATTTACTATACCTTTGCAATGCCAAAAATAACTTGTAGATACACTCACATAAAAAGAAGCCAACTTTGGATTTCGATGGCCATAAATGCTCGGACATGTGAGTGACACATAGTGAATCTCAAAAATAAGTTATAGCTTCTTGAACCAAAAACTCTATTGGACTTTAGCCCAGAACTATATATTACTCTCGTTTCAAAATATTTCTATGTTTTTTAATTTACATATCCCTTAAACGCCCTTAAGAAAACATTAATTAGGAGGAGCGTTTGGCTATTTTACCCTTGTTTATGTCTTAAGATATAATCTCTTTTTATTAAATATTTATTATTAATTACTACTAAGGATATATGGCAAGAAAATAATTAGTTTTATTTGAACTTTTAAAAGGACAAAAAATTTAAGACAAATATTTTAAACAAAGACGACAAGTATTTTGAGATGGAGAAAATATTTCAATATATTTAATTTCACGTCAATTGACATTTAAATTGATGCAATACGTTTCCTTTTTTATTTTATTTTTGTCAACACACCAATGTATTACTAATAATATGGTAAACAAGTTAATCCAGTTTAATGACGGAGAAAACAAACTATTCTCTCCATATATTTTGGACACTAATTGAATAGTAACCATGCATTAATTAAATATTTTTTTTTATGATTAATGTGGACACTGTCTTTTTTAATTATTTCCCATCGAGTGTTTAGTACTCCCTCCGTTTCACAAAGAATGACCTCCTTTTATTTTTAGTCTTAAAAAAGAATGATCTCTTTCCTCTTTTGGTAACATTTTACGTTTTGCTTTCCATGTGGCATGTTTAAGACCACAAAATTAAGGGCAATTTTGTACATTTGACGTAACTTTAATTTAGAACCACAAGATTCAAAAGTCTTCTTTATTTACTTAAACTCTATGCCAAGTCAAATCAGGTCATTCTTTGTGAAACAGAGGAAGTATATGTTTTGGGTTCGATTCGTGTCGAAAAATTCTATTTGGCTCTCCACCACGATGTCTTATCATTCCTTTTTCATGTCAAAGAAACCAACAATATTCATCAGTACTACCACAACAACTTTATTAGCCATTTAGACCACCCCTTTCACTTCTTCCATCCAAATTCCACAATTTTAACACCAATTTCAAGCTCGAAGTTCTTGCTAATTATGAAAAAGTATTAAAAAATGGGTGAGGAGATGGGGCTGCTAATTGCTATGGTGGTGGATTGGTGTATGTTCAACCATGGTGATGAAGGAAATGTACTAGAAAGGAGGATATTGAGTGATGAGAGAGAAAAAGGGGAAAAATGGGAAACAAAAAAAAGTAAAGAAAATAAAACAAAAGGCAAAAGTAAAAATATTACATTTAACGTTTGGTTGGAAACAAGTTATTCAGAATTAATTATCTTGGTATAACTTATCCCGTCATGTATATCCCATTACTATGGTATAAATGGTGGGATAAATTATCTCAAACATGACAACCAAACAAGACAATAAAATTATATCCTAAAACTATTTATTTTTATTCCTTACACCAAACGACCCCTAAGGGTACATGTATGCCACTTTAAAATAGTCCAAGGAAATGTTAGGATTTTCATGAAATATAAGTGTGTAGTTGAAATTCTGATAATAAATTGAGGGTATTAAGCTATTTTCTCAAAAAATATCTATTTATCCTATATCTCCTGTGGGTGTGGGGTTTTCTCATTTCTATTCCATTGGCGTGATAATTTGACAAGGATTTGAATTATTGTAGGAAGTAACCAACAAACACAAAGACTTAAAAAAGGAAGGAGTCAAGATTGATTTATAACTACACAAGTCTCAATTTTTTAAAAAAGTAAATGGAAATTAAAGAGCAAAAAACCAAAAAAATGTTTACCCTAATACTCTCCGCTCACTTTTACTTATCACTATAATAAAAATATATTTTTACTTTTACTTGTCACTTTTAGGCTTTAGCATATAAAGTAAAAAAATATTTTTTCTTCACATTTTATACTTAATACACATTACTTATTCCCTAAATCATTTTCCAATGACCTAAAACTATACATAAGAGTATATTCAAATATAATACTCATATTGATTAGTCATTGTTTTGTAAGGGGCATACAAAGTTCAAAGTGGAAAAATAAAAATAAACAGAGAGAGTAGCAAGTTATGTAACACCAACATCTTGTCTATGACAAAGTCTATGAATGATCCGACTTGGAGTCATAATCGAAGATAACACTTGCTTAATAGACTTAATTAAAAAATAAAGTCACACCTTTGCTATCAACTAACTTTTGATACGATAGTAAACAACATGCTGCATGAGGGGAATTTTCGGGTAACGCAAAAATCCTGCCTATTACAGGACCATGAGGAGGGTTGGGGTGGCCCGCACCAGAGTTTCACTTGTAAATTTTCGAATTTCGTATTTTAACCGTTCAGGAAGGCTGGGACAAATGAGAAGAAATTACGAACAGGTAAAAATTTCTCAAATTTTAATTGAATTCTCTTTGAGTCATTTCATCAAACACCTTACATGCAAATCACGAGTTGCTTTAATTTCACATAGAGTATGCTTTTTTGGTAGTGGATTTGTGGTAGTGACTGATTCCCTGTAAAGTGAATTGAAGTTTGTAAATGTAGAAGCCGATTTGTTTGGTACGCGAGATAAGGTGAGATATCCCATAATTAAGTCTGAAACAAAATTTATTTATACGGTATTTGATTGACGATATAAATTTATCCACCGTTAATCAAACATAATAGAAATTTTATCCCATAGACTTTTACATATAAATTTATGCTTCGCGTTGAAAGTACTGAGTTCAGATGAACGCGGTACTATACATGAGATAGAAATGAGTCAAGGACCCTATGGAGCATTATTGAAGGTTTCAGTTTTATAAAGTAGAAAAAGATAAGCTGTAAGGGCCCAGAAGTGGAAACAACATGAAAAAGTGAAAAGGGGATTGTTTTTTTTTATAACCCACACATTAGGAGCGGATAGCTTTTGCCTAGATCATGTATATGTATTAAGAAATCTAGTAGAATATCTAAAAATATTTGATTGTGAACCCAATTAGGATCTATGTTGCTCGGACTCTCAAAAAATATCGTGTTGGATCCTCCAAAAACGCAATGGTTTAGAAGGATCCGACAAATTAAATCAATCAATATTTTTGGACAGTCCGAGGGACTTAGATTATGATTATACTTTAACTTGAGGTTATTCTAGGAATCTACTTCTTTTTAGACTGTTTTTTCTTGAGAGGACGGTGTGACAAAAACAAACCTAGCTCTCTACCTTTTTGGTAGGGTAAGGTCTGGGTATGTTTTACCAGGGGCGTAGCTACGCTCTTGTCAGTGTCCAATTGTATATCATATATACAAGTAAAACAGTAAAAAAAATTTGGTTAAATAACATATTCTAGACACTCTTGACACAACAATGTGATGCAGTCTAGTGATTTCAAACGTCTTGTAAAAGTCAAAGACACACAAACTTAAAAGTGTTCATATGTTTGAATCTCACTAGCATCAACTCTTATTTTCACTTTTTAAGAAGAGTAGCCAATTGATTCGAAAAATACGTGTCCAAAAATATTAATTATTAATATTACGTAGTGTAATTTTAAAGTACACTCATTTGTGCAAAAAAAATCCTGGACTCCACTTTGTAAGGCTACACTAGATATGTTGTTGTTGTAGGAATCTTTAAAATTAAAATCTTGGATCCGCCTTCACGACACACATTATTGGGTATACTTGGAGAAAGAATGCTATTATAAAGGTATGGGCACATTTTTGAGGAACTATTTGGTTAATAAAGCATTTCTTGTGAGCTAATATGGCAATGTTCATGTATGTTTACAGGATTTTCATTTCTCTTTTGCTGATTTTGGTCCATTGTGAGGTGACTGTTGAACAGGCTACGCACGGCCCTCTACGCAAAATCTGTACATTAACTAGGCTTGATAAAACTATAGCAGAAATACCTCCTCTTGCCAGAGAAGATGGTAAGATTGAGATTGTCATACTCTTTAAGGCTACTTGGCCATTGTTTACGTTCTACGCAAGTTTAACTTGTTAACTTTTAGAGACTTCGACATGTGTTCTTCATAAAAATGAAGAGTTTGCGCAACTTAGCTGAAAACATGGAATTTGTCCACCAAAAGATGTTGCTGTTAAAGTCATAGTAATCCATTGTTGTCTGAATTCACAGTTGAAGTATTTTTAACTTGCCTTGTTATATTTTTGAATTATCTTTCCATTTTGACTTCCCCTTCCCTCAAATTTATTTGTATTATAGTTTCACAAGGTGACTGTTAGGCTGTTAGCCATCATTTACTGTAATTAAATTGATACTGCTTTCATGGTCTTCTTGTTGAGACTATATTAAGATGCTTGGATCCATATAATTTAAATTCTGAAGTGTTAAATAAGCAAACATCTCCTTCTCTGCTACTTTATTTCTCTGTTTTTCGTTTAAATTCTTTTTATTTGTCTGCAGACATGAATTTTGTTGACTGTCTTGTTGGTGTTGTTTGGACTATGTGACATATATGGTTTTTATGTCTTCGTCTAAAAAATTATCGCTTGCTTTGTTTATGGTAAAGATATATCTATTCCGGTACATATAACTTTTTATGCATCAGCTATTACTGTTGAAATGAAAGCTGAATAACCTTTACGGGCTATGCATATAGTATTTGTTTTCGAAATATTCATGACATCACAGGTTATCCATTTTAATTTTTTTCCCCCAATATTTCTGTGTGTGGATGCCAGAGGATGTCATCACTGAGCTGCTTCGGTGTAATTCAACAGTATTACCCCCAAGGTGTTTGATAACTGGAAGTAATTCCAAAGTTATTTGCAATTGTACCGTTGAGAATCATAAAAGATGTCGAGTGGTGGAGATGTATGCTTCTAATCCAAGTTATTTACTATTATTATTGTTTTATTTTTTTGATTCATCGACTGTTCTTCTTGTTAATTGATTTTCTGAGTAATACGTTATTTGGAAATAATACAGGTCCTTTGATAGAATAAGCTGGAGATATTGATCGGATTACATTCGTCTATTTTTCTAATTATAATTTGCACTGATATAATTAGTGATCCATTATGCCATCATTTTTTGGGAGTTTGGGGATTTGGTCATTTGGCACTTTGCCTTCCTAATATTCTTCATGTAGTGCTCATGCTACTTTTTTTTAATAACCGTAGTGTCGGGGCCAGCTTGCGTGCACCTAGACTAATTTCACGTGATACCTGCCACCTACCACTAGTGATAGGTACAAGGTTACAGTGGTCTCTGGGCATATGGAAAGAAATTACCTAGTGTTTTTCTCTCTGCTAGATTTGAACCACGACCGCTACTTGAATTTTTCACAATAGATTACATGTATCACAAAGGATTCTAATGAAGGTCAACGTGATACCTGTTACCTCCTACCAACAACAAGTACCTGGTTACTCTGTCCACCAAAGCTATGTTTTTTTTTTCTCTATTGAGATTTGAACCACTACTGCTAATTGAATTTTTCACAGTAGATTACATATATCTCGGAATTAGGATTCTAATGAAGTTTAATCATGTGAATGATTCATATTACTAGAAAAATATTGAATGGTACGCCAGATTGACAATGTTGTAGTGTTAGAGATTTGTTTTAAACTGTCTTTATGTTTGTACAAATTGATTTTTTTACAAGTTTTCCACTTTGAGGATGTATTTCTCCAAATTACAATTTTGTGATTTCTTCTTTCCACCCTTCATTCCTCTAAAATTATGCCTCTTTACATTTCTATATATGTTGATTAATAAAGTCCGTTGTACTAAAAGGTTTTCCATGAAGCAGGAATATTCATCTTTGCCTGCTTGACCAAAAATGAATTCAAATAATTTCACTATAATTATAGCAACATCTGCACAATTCACCACTAAAATGTAAAGCAACTTAAGAGACATTTTAAGTTAGTACTTTTCATGCCAAATATGTGCTAATCATCCTTGTTTTATGTTCATTATTACTGTTTGAAGTTGTGGTCTCAAGGGAATTAAAATTTGTAGTATTTGTTTTTAACTATGCAACTTCTAGTTTCTGATTGATGTCTTTGCAACATACTGAACTGCAGAAATTTCCCCGATAGACGAATAGAAGGTGGGATCCCTCAGAACATTGGAAACCTTAAATATTTGACTACTCTGTAAGGATACCTAAACAATATATTCTTTTTGTATTGTGCTTTTCGAAGGGGATCCTTGGGGTAGCTGGTAAAGTTGTTGCCATGTGACTAGAAGATCACATGTCCAAGCCATGGAAACAGTCTCTTGCAGAAATGCAAGGGAAGGCTGCGTACAGCTAGACCCTTGTGGTCTGCCCCTTCCCCTGGAGCTTTAGTGCATCGGACTACCCTTTTTTTAAATACTATGACCGGTAGGCATTTATATTTTAAGGCAGGAGTGGAAAAAATGGAATGCATGCCCCAAGAGATATGCATAAGTCGGAAAGCATTACAAAAAAATAGTGCAATGTTCTTAAAGATGCTAATCACCTAGTGTTGCATATCAAAAACGACACTAGATTTAAACACATCATTACTTGAATAATAGCAGGAGAGCTCACGGCTAAAATCTTAACGTCTTAAGCACTCATATTTAGAAAGTGATCTTATCTCTTGGGGATTGCATTCCACCTTTTCCAGGTATACTAGTATAAATTACTAAATAAGAGGTTATCAAACTCTAAAAAAAATCTCAATATTATAAAGTCTAAAACTAAACTACTTCATATCCAAGATTCGATAATGTGCTATCCTTTATGAATCTATCTACTTTGGTTGATCACAGTAATTTGGATAGAAACAAGTTGAATGGACCAATTCCTGAATCATTTAAAGATCTGACGCGACTAACGCACATGTGAGTAGTTTCATAACTTCGGCTGCAAACTTTTCATTATATTCTCCATCCTTCACTGTGTCCATCAGAAATTTACTCATCTATTTTTGAAGTCTTTCATTACTATGCATACGATGAAGCCAATTAAGGAATTCTTTTTCTTTAATTACCTCTGATGCTTATAATGTTTTATCTGACAGTTCTCTCTGTGATAATTCATTAAACGGAACCATTCCACTTTCCCTTGGTGAGATGAAGTCTTTACAAAAAATGTAAGTCATCGGCTTACCTAATTATGTCCTTATGTTGGTGTTTGTACCTATTTGGGTATGTAAGCTTTAAGAACCATTAGATTATTGGCGTTCCAATAACGAAAATTGTGAGTGAAGAATATTTTATAATCTAATGGTGACAATTCTATTAGCCCCAATTTGATGTTAACACCAAGCTTAGATGGGTTTTCCCCTCGTTTAAGTGTATCCAGATTATATACATGTCTGGTGACCTACATGATTAAAATTAGCAATAGTTACGTATAAAAGTTTGTTTTAAAGCAAAAGGTTGAGGTAATAATGTTGTTGTGATGGTGAATATTGGAAAAAAAGAGATTTGTAGTGATGACGGATATCGTGGAAATGAAGACCTAAGAACTATTTGGAATAGTAGTTTTACGCGTACTCTATAGACTAGTACTTAGGAAACTAAGGGGGCTTCAATCACGACAATGAGCGCCTTTAACTCTGCATTCTTACATGTCAACTGATGCAGAGTTAACATGGATCCGGCATTTTAAAATTGGATTTTGAACCAATGAAGACGGCTCAACTAGAAAATTCACTCAGACTTCTATCTTGGGATCGTATTTAATCATTACAATCTAACCTTGGTTGATATTACAGATCTTTGTGCAAAAACTTCTTCAATGAAACAATTCCTCCAAATTTGAAGTCTCTCAAATCTTTAGAATATTTGTAAGTCTAAAGCTGCATCTTATATTGTCCTTTATATTGCGAAATAAATTATTACTATATAGTCATCTTAGTTCATAATATATTTATTTTCTTCTTGTCCTTTCAGAGATTTGAGCTATAATTTATTATCAGGGAACATACCTGAGCTGGGAGGAATTGGGACCCTCACCGAATTGTAAACGCCTTGATAAGATCCATACTTGTACTTCCCAATTGGTTTGGCTTAAACTTTAATCCCCATCTATTTTCCTTCACAATTAGGAACCTGGCGGATAATCAACTCTCGGGTAAACTCCCGGACAGTCTCACAAGTTTTGTGAATCTTGAGGAGTTGTAAGTATATTTTTGTTAGTTACTTTTGGGTGCATGTACCTAACGAAACAGGGATACCTATTATTAAGTTGTAAATGATTTCAGGCAGTTGCAGAACAATGAATTTGCTGGTGCCTTGCCGTTGAGCTTCCATAGTTTGGTGAACCTGAAAACTTTGTAAGTATCAACTCTCTTATCTTTCCACTACTAAGAAAATCATTATATTCCCATTGAAAAATGTTCAGTGGCTACTCCCACAGATATTTTGATTGAAACAATGAGAAAAGAATAATACTAGTGTTTTCATATGGAAAAATTAGGAAGTTTTACACTAATTGTAATGAGAATTTGTTTCCCATCATGAGCTGGTTAGGTTGAAATGGGTGGGAAATCATGTTTTATAACACAAATTTCCTATTAAGCCTCTGTTTTTTAGTAGTGTTCAATCTCATTAGCATAGAATTGGAACATGAAGAGAGAGAGAGAGAGATTAAGTTTTAAATCAATTGTTTATCTTCTTTCCTTGTAGCGATGTGCGAGGGAACAACCTCAATGGAACAATCCCAGATATTTTTGGAGGGTGGGAAAAGCTGCTTATCATGTAAAACTCACTAACTAACTGTACACTTTTATACTATCTATGCATGTTTTTAGCAAGACTACTGATTTATTTTTTCTGCACATGTTGAGAAGGAATCTGATGGGGAATACTTTTTCTGCATCATTCCCTCCCACTTTCTCAGAGCTGAAGAATCTACAACAACTGTAAAATCCTGTAGCTTTTCCGATATACGCATCCTTGAAAGGAGTTCTCCCAAACTTTGAATTATTAAGGATTATGTAATATCTACTTTCAGGTATATCAGTGACTCAGTTGGAGAACAGTACTCATTTCCAAATTTATCCACAATAAAATCTTTGACAACTTTGTGAGTCCCGTGGCACCCAAACCTTTCATGCTTATTGGAATAATAGTTTTTTCTTTTGCTTTTCTCCTAAAATAGAATTCTATTTTCCAATTTTCTGTTTATCTAGGACATTGAGGAATTGCTCACTAAAAACCGGAATCCCTGATTGGATATGGAAAATACCTCAACTAGAGTATCTGTAAGAAAGCTTCTGCATCAGTAAATATCTCCATATTCGTTTACTTCACAAAGAAAAGGGCGTGCTTTTTGATAGGGGAAAGTCGATGCTTCAAATGTTCTCCTCTTTGACTGCTTTTTTCAAATGAAACTATTATATTATGAGGTTTATGAGAAAATAAGTCGTTTGTTTATAAAAGAGTTCCGTCAGGCTAAGCTCTTAAAGTGTGCTATCTTTGTCTTGCTCTCTTCCGTTTATCATACAGTAAAGTGCGTGGAACAAAGTGGAAAAACTACTTGATTGCGTGTAAACCTGTCACTAAATAGGCGATTACATGTTTCCTTAACAAATATATAAAGTAATACTACTTTCTTTTCTCCTGATGCAGGGACTTGAGTTTCAATAATTTGTCTGGTGTAATTCCAGAAACTGGTCCCAAATCACTGAAATTTATGTAAGTGATCTTGCTTCTCTAACTAATCATTAAATATACGTGATCTTATTTTTCTAATGAATTGTGGATATAAAATTCATCACTGCAAGAAAAGCTTTTATACCTCTTTCCTTTTGGCTATATCTTTCTTCTATGCATTTCTTGTCGAAGCCAGTAATAGTTTATACATCTCAAAACTCAAGTTTTTTTTTCGACAACAGCTGATATGGATTTCTGTTACTATATGTTGTTTCTTGTACATTGACTATTGCATTGTTTTGTTGTAGTTTCCGTTCTGTTATTTGTTATTATATGTTGTTTTTGTACTTGTATTACTTATTTTTCTTGACTTCTTCTGGACTTTTTTTTCTTGAGTCAAGGGTCTATCGAAAAAACCACTCTACCTCTGAGGTAGGAGTAAGGTTTGTGTATACTCTATCCTTTCCGGACCCCACTTTGTGGGACTATATTGGGTATGCTGTTGTTGTTGTATAACAGCTGAGGCGGATCTATAGATGGAAAGCTTGTGAAGTGAACATTGGTTTTCATACTAATTGCAACGTAACTTACGGTACTTGTGTATTAGATTGTGTGATTCTGGTGTTGTTTGAATATCAGAAATTGTGTGATAGCTCGCATTAGATGAATACTTGAGCTCTGTGATGTCTGTCGAAAAATTGATCTTTTATCACATTTTTTTCTTTTCTGTCTCGTTTTAAGTGTCATAATCCAATGCATTGTTTCCAGATTTCTAAGAAAAAATAAACTCACTGGGACAATTCCAGCTTGGGTCAAGGATTATCCATACGCGTAAGTGCCTTTTGCATTAATATATTACTTTTTTGGTTGTAATTAGTCGAGGTGGGGAAAAGCTGGCTTGCACACCACGGTTATCAAAAAAAGAAAAGAATGGCAAACACTTCATGTTTTGCAGAGTGACCTTTATTCTTAGTACTGTCCAAACCACAACACGTGACGCTGAAAGATCACTGGAATCATAGCTGTAGTCAATGGAACAACGAAGATTCAAATGATTTCTACTTATAATAACATATCTAAACTTTTCCTACTCAAGGCCTCTCAACCTGTAAATTGGGATGCAAAACATGTTTCTTAGTCATAGACACAATCTTCACTTTTCAAACAATTTGCAATCGCCAACTCATTTGTTCATGTCTCGCACATTAGTTGATGGAACGGGTTATTGTTGCCTCATATGGTTTTAGACAGTCCTCATCTCATGAGCTAGCTTTTGCGGATGAGTTCATCATTAGGCCCATTTTTGTTTTGGTCATTATTTCTTTCCATTAAACTACCATATATTCTTAGGCCAATTATTTCTTTTTCTGTGTTCTTGTTTTTACTCTTCTATCCATTACTTGGATATAATTTTTGTTGGGGAACAATGAAAAATCACACTAATAGTAGTTAATTTAACATGATTTTTTGCCTCGGCTTTCTCTTTTCATTAATGTCTACAACATATTATGCCACTCACTCGTCCAAGTTGAAAGTGCAGGGATCTTTCTGAAAACCATTTCAACTTAAGCCAAATAAACAAGACAAATCCTAACTTGTAAGTGTGATTTTCACATATCTAGAAAAAATCTTATTTATGTGCTTCTAAGTAGCTTTTCTATTCCCGGATCCAATTATATTTCCTTTTACCAGGAATCTGTTCGCATGCTGCTTCAATGAAGCGGAAGAGTAAGCTCCTCCACCTGTATCTCCACTAAGAGGAAAAAAAAGAAGAAGAAATAATTTAGTCTCGGAAGAAAATTGGTCCGAGTTCTATACTTAACTTTGTGCATAAATTTGAATTTAGGGTTGCAAAGCAGGACCAAGTTGATTTACATTGTAAGAATGGAGCTCAGTTAGGTAAGTATTAATTAACAACTTCACACATGAAGTGATTTCAGTATACGTCTTATGTTATGTTCCTTATGACTAACTTCACACATAATTATTTCAATAGTTAAATGTGTTAGTATCATGACTCGTGATAAGATTGCTGTTTTTCTAGTTTGTCGTTTCCACACTAAAGTTGCTCGCATTTTGAGATCTCAAATGCACCATGTACTAAAATTTGTGTATCCATTTGTAGATGACCATTTGTATATAAACTGCGGTGGTGAGTCTGTATCAGTTAACGGAAATGTCTATGAAGCTGATGTACATGAAAATGGTGGATCAACTTTCTTCATGAGTAATAATTCAAATTGGGGCTATAGTAGTATGGGAACCTTCTTATGGGCAAAACGTAACAGGTACACTCTAAATGATGTATGCGAAGTTCATACTGGTGATGCCGAATTGTATGGAACAGCACGTTTATCCTCAATCTCTTTGAAATATTATGGATTTTGTTTGGTACCCGGTACGTACAAAGTGATTCTTCACTTTGCTGAAATATCTAGTAGAAAATATAGACTTTCGCATGGCAAAACAAGGCGAGTCTTTGATGTAGAAATCCAGGTAAGGTACCAAAACCACCTTGTCGATCCGTACGCAAACATATAGAAGATCTTTACAGAATATTTATGCAGGAAGAAAAGGTGCTGACAAACTTCAACATAGAAGCAGAAGTAGAAGCACAAGCTGTGAATGAGCCTATAACAAGGGAATATTCCGCTGAAGTGCGTAACAATCTACTCGAGATTCACTTATACTGGTCTGGAAAAGGGTCAATCTTATACCCATCAGATAACTATGGGCCCCTTATATCTGCGATTACAGTAACTCTAGGTATTCATTCTGTGTCCAACTGTTACACTGTTTTACGAAGGGGAGCCTTGGAGCAACAGTAAAGTTGTCTGCGTGTGACCTATAGGTCATGGGTTCGATCCGTGGAAGCAGACACTAATGTTCATATTAGGGGTAGGCTATGTACATCACACCCCTTTGGGTGCTGCTCTTCCTCGGACCCTACGTGAACGCAGGATGCTTATGCACCGAGCTACCCCAGACTGTTTACCATTTTACATGGTTTTTTCCCCTATGTTGTGACTGATATTTCATGGTAACAATTTATGAACCAGATCAATCACATCTGTCCCATGGAGTGCTTGTTGGAATTTCAGGATCTGCATTACTTTTTCTAATATTGTTCATTGTTTTTTCCTGGATGTACCAAGACAAATTACGTCGGGAAGGTAACACTACTTTAATTATGGATTTTATTTTGGTTTCCATTGGGATTTGAAGCGAAGCAATCTTTGAGGCGATCTCCAAAATCTGAAAATGTTATCTCTCCTCTTTACTCGCCCTTTACCATCCTGGAAAGGAGACCCAAGATCCATTTCTTATCATGGCATCAGTATCAGATCTATCCCAATTCTTAGTTTGCCCGATGTTAGGCCCCCATATTATGTTTTCCACCCTCCCGTTGGTAAGCTTGGGCATAGGTTGGAGGGGTGTTAAGTTGTCCCACATTGGTCATTAGCTTTTGGGGTTGAGTTAAGCCCAAGATCATTTTTATCTAGTTATCGGTTTTAATTACCACCATATGAATCATAAGACACTTTATTTGTAGTAAGCTTCTTTACTTTCTTTCTGTTTTCCACTCAACTGATATTTATTTACTAATAATGTGCTGATATAGAGCTAGAACTTATTGAATTCTACCCTGGAGGGCTTTACAACTATCAGAAAATTAAAGCTGCCACAAATAATTTTCATGATGGCCGCCGGCTTGGTGAGGGAGGTTTTGGGACCGTCTACGAGGTTAGCTAGAATCTTTAACTCATTGCAGGTTATGATTTTTTGTGTTCTTTGTGATATGTCTTTGACAGTTTTAGTCCGCCTTTGTATTCTTCATTTTCTTTCCGAAAGATATTCTCTCATGACAAAAGTTGCAGTACTAATATTGTGTAGCTGCACTATGCACAACCTTTCTCCGTTTGCTAGTTGGATGACCGGACATCTAGATATATACTCCCTCCATTTCAATTTATTTGGCCTATTTTGTCTTGGCACGGAATTTAAGAAAGTAAAGAAGACTTTTGAATAATGTAATCTTAAACTAAAGATATATAGAATGTACCGAAATTCCCTTCAATCTTGTGGTCTTAAACATGTCATGTGGAAAGTTGGTTAGAATTTAAAAAGTTACCAAAAAAGGGATGGCACATTCTTTTTGAAATAGACTAAAAAGTAAAGTAAGACAAACAAATTGAAATGGACGGAGTAATTATTTTGTTTCTCTGATTCACAATTTCATCATCTAAAACACTTTACCAACATCCAGGGCACTCTTTTGGATGGGACTGCCATTGCAGTTAAAAAGCTTTCGACAACAAAAGAAGGAATGAACGAGTTTGTGGAAAAGAGTCGTACAATTGCTGGCATGAAACATCCAAATCTTGTAACACTAATGGGATGCTGTGCAGGAAAGAACCAACTTCTGCTTGTCTATGAGTACATTGGAACTAAATCTCTTGAAGATGCATTATTCGGTAACGTCTTCCATTTATGAAAAATTTCTTCATTAAGCCTCTGTAGTTGTAGTAAAGTATTTAGTTGTACAAATTAAACGTCGAGCTTTGGTTACTTACAGGTTCAGAGGAACTTAGAGTAAGCCTAGATTGGCCAACAAGATATAGAATTTGTCTTGGGCTAGCAGAAGGTTTAGCTTTTCTTCACGAGGGGTCCAAACTTGAAATTATACACGGGAATATTAGACCAGCGAACATTCTTCTTGATGATGATCTGAATCCGAAGATATACGATTTTGGATTTGCAAAGCTTTATCACAAGCAAAAGTCAGAAGGAACAATGTAAGGAAACACACTAACAAATTATATTTCAAAAAGCGTTAATAGCCAAAAACACATCTAAAATATCCTGGTTTTCTTAGTTTCATACTTGAACTACCAAGTGTGCGAGTTTCCTACCTGAACTATCACCAACTATTTACCAAAACACACCTCAACTATTACCTTAAATATCACCATCATCATTCAGGTAGGAAAATGGAACAATTGATAGTTGTTGTGTGTTTTGATGAGTAGCTGGTGATCGTTCAGGTAGGAAACTCAAAAAACCTGGATACTTTAGGTGTTATTTTGACCTTTCACTCTCTTTCAGATACAAATAGTAATACTTTAGGTGTGTTAAAACTTTGTATACATTGGCTATTACAATTGCACTTCTCAGTAATGGAAGCCTTTTGCAGGTCATACACCGCGCCTGAAGTTAAAGATCGCGCCTTAGAAGCCAGCGCGGATGTGTATAGCTTTGGAGTTGTCATGCTTATACTTGTCAGCGGAATGAAAATCAAGACCCCGAGGGCAGGTGGTGACACTGAATACCTCGTTGATGAGGTGAGTGAGACTCGATTAACTGCAATAGTAATGTACATTAATTTAGGAAACTAGACAAAGTTATTGGTTTTTTTCGACTACTATAGGCACAAATAAAGAATCGGAGGGGAACTCTAATGGAATTAGTCGATCAAACTCTGAATTACGACTGGGAAGAAGCAGAGATGATTCTAAGATTAGCAATCCAATGTATAGATTCACCGCCATTCAGACCAACGATGTCTACAATCGTGAAGATTTTAAGGAAAGAACGTTCAATCGAGACCATTTTGATCAAGCCCAAGGGTGATTAACTACAACATCTTGGCGAAAAAGGTTACAAAATCATGTCCTAGCTGATTGTTCTGCTGAAAAATACCACTCAGATATTGAGAAGTGAAGGACTATCATATTTGCTTTAACAATGTGCTTGAGTAGGGGCGGAGCTAGAAGGCAACTTACGAGTTCAGCTGAATCAAGTAGTACGTCCGTACTAAATCTTGCATTAATGTATTTGTGTTGCAATGTTTTCTAAATATGTGCAAATCTTAAATTAAGAGTTCAGTTATGAGCACTTGAATTCGTTATTGTAAGATTCAGAACCTATTAAATTCAAATGCTACTAGTGTTAATGTTTTCTTTTTATGAAAACATCTGTATTTGGTATGAAGGATTTTCTAAAATATCTTCTCCTTTTCTATAAAAACTCTCTTACCCTTATTTTTTTAGGATTTTCATATATTTTGAAAGTTCAACTAATTACCAAAAAAAAAAGAGATTTAACTAAAATTTGAATTATATCTAAAATTTAAGGGTAAAAATAATAATATTGATAAGAATTTTTTTTATATTATTAGCTCTATTTTATGTGTTATAACAGGTAATCTGTCTTATTTTTAAGATTACGAAACTCATATTTTAAGAAGACTTACATAGATACTCTTTAAATGACATGTAAATATAAATTTATTTATACTGGGAGGTGTATATAAACTTTTAAAAAATAACTTCTGGATATATAGAAGTTGAAAGAGTTATCCATTTGGAATTCCAAAAAAAAAAAAAAAAAAAAACGTATTGTCTTCTTCATCATCAATTCCATTTATATTCATTCTTGTGGCTTAATGCAAAAAAAGATTTTAAAAAATAATTAAGCTTCAATGGAAGTCACAATTCCAAAATGTGACATTTTTACGTGTGATATTTGTGTTGATGAGAAATTTGCTACTAATGATATGTTCAAAATCTTAGGCTGCAATCATTCTTATTGCAAAAACTGCATTGCTAAGTACATATCTTCAAAGCTCCAAGAGAACATTTCTCGAATTTCATGCCCCGTTACGAGTTGTAACGGGCAAATGGAACCGCATAATTGCCGTTCCATTTTGCCTAACGATGTTTTCGTTAGGTGGGGAGATGTGTTGTGTGAGTCTATGATTTTTGAGTACGAGAAATTTTATTGTCCGTTTAAAGATTGTTCCGCGCTTTTTATAAATGAATGCGCGGGTGTAGAAAATATGGTTGTTGTTATAACTCAATCCAAATGCCCGGAATGTAAGAGGTTGTTTTGTGCAAAGTGTAAAGTTCCATGGCATTCAGGATTTGTGTGTGAAGAATTTGAGAAGTTGAACAAAGATGAAAGGGAAATTGAAGGTTTACAACTTGTGAAACTTGTTAAGAGTGAAGAATGGCAAAGATGTCCAAGTTGTAGGATGTATGTTGGGAGGTCAGAAGGTTGTGCACAAATGAGATGCAGGTTAGTTTATTTAGTCCATATGATTTTTAGTTTCATGTTTTATATCGGAGATTGTCTCTCTACTTTCGTAAGGTAGGGGCAATAATGTGTACTCACCACCCTCTTTGGATTCCACTTGTGAAATTAAACTGATTATGTTATTATTATTGTTATTTTCCAATAGTCTCAATGTCCTCATTGAGAGTCGCATCTAGTAATCCCTCCACGAGTAGTCTAATATATAGTCGTTGTACGAGATGTCTAGTAGTCTCTAAATGTATCTCCAAGTCATAAGTTTCCTATCTCTCAGATTGACTTTTCTACTTGACTAACTAATACTTCGCCTTGTATAATGGTTGTATATGGACTAGCTATTGTACAGCCAGCTATGATATACTCAAATTTTTTCTATAATATATAGGTTTATTTATAATACTTCCCATGTATTGTTAAAATTAAAATAGATAAAATACCGATTTTTGGTCCATGAAATGTTGTGATGTTTCGATCTTGATCCTTGTGTTATCTACCTTCACACATTTGATTTTCGGTCAAATGAAATGTGTAAAATTAGTCCTACACACACATATTAAAAATATTTTAATTAAAGAGTACGAGCAACATAGATCATCAGTTGTATACTGAAAACTAAATACATCATTGGTGTCTTTTCACAATTGCAGGTGTGGATGTAACTTTTGTTACAAATGTGGAGCTCACTCAAGTGATCACTATTGCAATAGTTGTGGTACTTAGAAAACGTTTACTTTACTTTTAAGGTTTTTTAGTATTTTTATGTGTTTTGTACTTTTGTTTCAAGTGTTTTTGGGAAATAGGAGTGAGTTGTACTAATTACTAGAGGGCTACTTATCATAATTACATGGAGTCGTGAAGTAATTTGTAATTTGCACCTTATTCTATATGTTTTTGTTGGTGATTTCCATCTTGATCGCCTTAGTTAACTCGCAAATCATAAAAGATCCCTTTTTTCAATTATTTATATTTATAAGGGACAAACTAGTTACACTTATTTAAATTGTTTACCGTGGATTTTTCGATCCTGTATTAAAATAAAGGTCATTGTCATGAAGTTCCAAATTCGATACGTGAAACTCTATTATGTATAAAATTTAATAGATGCAATTTAAAAGTCCATGATAGTAACTATTTTTCAATTACATAGGCAGAAAAGATAATGCCAACGATATAGTTGTCTTTGTTAAAGGGGGTCTAACTTATCTCATTCGCCAGAAAATTACGTTATGTAGATTTGTATAAATAAATATATTTTATTTATATAAACTATGTATTGAATATTCTTGACACATAGGTTCTATATTAAAGTAGGAGATAAGAGAGGCAAAAGAACTTGCATTGCTTTATTTTTATTATTTAGCCCTAAGAGAATTTTAAAATAACATGATCAATGAAAATTCATATGGTCGACCACATTGATTACGACGGAAACATAGTTGTTGTATATTTAGGTACGAAGCTACCAAATCAATAATCAACATTCATACAAATAATTAGAAGATAAGTCATTTGAGCTATTCCTTTAGTCATCTCTTCTAAGTCACAAATCTGAAAATCTATATCCACAAGTTGAGTAATAAGAACCTATCACTAAAATACCCCTAGAGCGACGATAAAAAAAAACTAGAAATCGCACATTTGCACCTCTGGAGAGATATCTACAATCCGTTCAATATACCTGAAAATACAAAAGAGCATCTCAACATTAGTTCTATTAGTTTCTTTTTGCCCGGAAGACGATATATATGAAATATCTTCCAAGAATGGCGAAATATATGTATGCATATTTATGTACTATGTTCCTCAGAAAAATGTCAACAGTTGCATGTCGGATACTTTAAAAGTAGTGTATTTGGAGAATCCGACATGGGTGCAACAACAATTTTGGAAAGTCTGAGAAACGTAGTTCATGGACAGGTTCCCATGTATCACCACTACATCCATTTAAGATCTAATCAAGATTGAGAGGAGATCACTGAGTAAAACTCGCAATTATATTCTAAGCAGAGTGCTACATCTACAGAGGACTCGTAATTTTGGGAACAAAAAGAAGAAAGAACAATACTAATAAGTTCAAACGAAATACGTCTTTAAGTACCACAGCGTTTGCAATGGTGATTAGTTGACTCAGCTCCACATTTGTAACAAAAGCCACATCCACACCTGCAAGTGTTAACATAACGATGCATCACAATTTGGCTACGTAAAGATAAAGTCAGCATTAAACCATATTGCCTATGAGTGGAATTGAAGCATCCAAGTTATCGGCTTTATTGTTTGTTATCGTGACAAATAACATTAGCAACAAAGATTTTGTAGGATCACCAACAAAAATAAACAAAATATGTGACGGTAATTGAAAATGAAAGAGAAGACTATGCATTTTTGCTTAGCTAGGTATATCATAGCTTTAAAGAAACAATGCAATTACAAGCACGCATGATTTCATTGCAGCCAGCAGCAGAACAAGGATAAAATTGAAAATCCTAGTGATACAGGGGCTGTAGTTGAGAATTTAACATAACTAATTATACGCATACACACACATAGCTGCCTTTGCTTCGGTCAACTCTCTGCACCGACCCTCTTCATCAGTCGACATGGCAAATCAGAGATGTGTGTACGCTTACAAGCAATCAAATTCTTATAAACAAATAGATAATTCTCAAGGTCGCACCTGTATTATGGCTTCAGTCTTCCCTTTGTACTTGGGAATTGGCAACACTGGAAGACAAGACAAGGCAAGGGGTAGGGATAAATCTTCCTAGGTGTTGCTCTACCAAAGTAGTCAGCCTAACCTTCGGTTCTCGTAATCATGTTATTCTTTTACTTTTTCTATAGTGTGGAGCAAATGGCACCCTAAAGGCAAACAACACACATTGAGCAAATAGATTAAAACATCTAAAGCTTAGACATCTTTGATCACACAAACTTCCCGGGACAAAAGGAAACACAAAAACCATACACTCCCTCGATTTCAAAAAGCACGTCCCTTTTATTTTTTGGCAAATTTTAGTCCTAACTTACATGACATGCTTAAAACCACAAGATTAAAGAGTATTTTAATACATTTTACACATCTTTAGTTTAAGAGGACCACAAGATTAAAACAACTTATAGTCAAAACCAAACAAACAAATTGAAACGGAGAGAGTAACTAACTAACTAACCTACAAACCATTTGGGCGCAACCAGCAGCTCTCACGACATATATCCTACACCGCGGACATCTCTGCCATGCTTGACCCTTAGCAAGTTGCATTAGCTGCAAATCCTCTCTTTCCCTCTCGTCCTTATTCAACTTCTGAAATTCTTCACATACAATCCCCGAATGCCAAGCAACTTTACACTTGGCACAGAACAACCTCCTACATTCCGGACATTCGGACTGAATCACAACAGAATCCTTACCATTTTCATCAATCAAAAGAAGCGCAGAACAATCCTTAAACGGACAATAAAATCTCTCCGAAGCCATAATCATTGCCTCACACAACACATCTCCCCATCTATCAAAAACTTCCTTGGGCAAAATCGAACGACAATTATATGGCTCTAATTGTCCATTACAACCCGAAACAGGACATGAAATTCGACATATATTTTCTTGAAGCTTCATACCAATATACTTTGCCATACATTCTTTGCAATAAGAATGACTACAACCACTGATCTTGAAAACTTCATTAACACATTTTTCATCAACACAAATATCACAAGTAAACAACTTATCAACCAACTCATTCACATCATCATCGATAACAATGGACTTGATATTCGAAACCCCTTTCGATTTTTGTACAAATTTGGTACCCAAAAACTCAATTTCATCATCAGAAAGATCAATCATCACTTTTTTTGAACCACTGCAGCTAGGTTTTGAACAAAAGTAATTTTCTACTGAAATTGGTTTAATAAACTTTTTTCTTTTACCTTTTGAAGCTTTTTGGGTTTCATATATCACTAAAACATCATCGTTATCATCAGCAATATCAATAATCTTCACACCCAAAGAAGAAGAATTTGCCACTTCCATTTTTTGTAAAAAAAAATAATCTTTTTAGCATTAAACAGCAAGAATATATATTTATATAGTGAAAATTTGCTAGAATATGAAAAGGGTTATAGTAACCTTTACGATTCTGAAGAAAACAAAAAAAAAAAATTCGTATTTGGTGAAGAAGAAGAAGAGAATAAGATATTTTAGGAATTCGGAAAGGTAAAAATTTGAACTTTGAATGCTAATAGGAGGGTGTGTGTGTTTTTTTTTTAAACATGTGCTCCTTAACTTCGTTTTATATTTATGTCCGAAAATTTTGAGTGTGCATAAATAGGTATTTAAACTACATAAAATTGAATAAGTAGACATATAAGTCTTACGTATATGTTTATTTGTTCAACTTTATAAAAGTACAAATATTTACTTGTGCACATGTAAAATTGAAGGACATAATTGTAAACTAAAGCTAAAGTAAAAGACATATTTGTATATTACACTTTTTTTTATTGAACGTTTGATACTCGCTTTATGATCTGACTAATTGAGAACTAAGTTGACGAAAAGAGAAGGTTGATAATTATATGAATATAAGTTTAAAATTTAGAAATAAAATTCGTCTTTCGAAAGGTAATTTTATCCTCAAAACTTGAGTATGAGATACTAGGGAACTAATAAAGGAGTGAATATTTGTTTTGTGATATGACTAATTGAAACTTACATTAAGAAGAGAAGTTGAGATTTTGATAAGTGTAAATTTGAAAATATAATTCGATTACTGAATAATTGAAATTCACGTCATCGAGATGAGAAGTTGAGATTATATTGACAAGTATAAATTTATTGAGTAAATTAAACATGTCGTCTTTTAAAAAGTACTTTCTCTGTTCCTAATTACTTGTCCATTTGACAAATCAAGAAAGGACAAAAAAGAAATTCTTATTGTATCATCAATTAATTACTTTAAAAAATATAGAACTTCTTGAAAATTCCAAGTTTTTAATTCATCCACTTCATAATTAATAAGGGTAAAATGGTAAACTCACTTTGTTAATCATTATTTTCTTAATAGATGTGTCAATTCAAAAGTGGACAAGTAATTAGGGAAAGTGGAGTAATTTTCATCTCGAAATTTGAATATTGTGCATGATATTAGTAGGAGTTTTTTTTTATTGGGATCGAATAAAAAGGAACCTTTAGTAATTAGTATTATTCTAATGATAAAGATAGCATATAAATATATAATTATTATAAGTATTGTTCTTTTAGTATTATTCTGATAATTAAGATTCACTCTCGAAGTATTTCATGTGGTTACAATTACAACTTGGGTTGTTAAAAAGGTTCTTTTAGTAATTTCAAAATTATTATCGCACGTTTTTAAAAAAATAGCATAGGAATAGTACTACGAATGTGATAAAATAACCTCAAAACTTCTTATTCCAAAGTAATAAAAATAATTAATCAAACGCACAGTAAAATAATATCATATTTTATTCAGATGCAATTATGTAATAAATCTACTGGGCTATAAATCTATAATGTCTATACAGAAAAAAGGCACTATAATAATCTGAATAACTTAAAGAATCAGAAAAAACAAAAGTTGATTGTCTCAACCTATCGATTGGTGAGTTGGAGAAGAAAGTATTACAAAGCTATAGCTCTATAAGTTTCGCGTCTTAATTACTCTCGCACCAGATAGTTCTCAGCTGCAAGATTAATCTCGGCATGCCCCAATGAGAGAGTACCCTCAAACTGAATATCTCATGGCACCATATCTTTAGATTTTCTTCTTTCACTCTATCAATTTACTTTACCTGAAAATTATAAAGAGCATCTCAAATAAATTAGTTTTATTAATTCCATGTATGAGCAAAAATATATCAATTTGTACTATAATGGCACAAAAACTTAATGGACATACCACATATAACAACACAAAACTTAGAAAGAAGAAAGGTAAATCGATCACGATGCACTCAAGGATAGGATCTAGTGAACGATGAAAGTAGTTGTGAAAAACTAAAAAAATCAGAAAAATGAGTGTTCAATTCTAAAGAAAGACAAAAATCATCTAAGTAACCTCTTCCTATATAGCATAAATCTTGATAGGCAGAGTTATTCCATACAAGTATTTAGTTTAGTGAATGGTGAAAGTAGCTAGGGTGAAAAACTAAAAATCATAGAAGTCGAGTGTTCCATTCTAAAGAAAGACAAGAATCGTTTTTCAGTATTTCTTCTATCTAGACTAAATCATCAGAGTTATGTCTAGTACATGTATTGGTGGGGTAGGGACAACTTCTATAGTGAAACAACAAGAATCTGTCATTTTAGCGACGGAATATAAAATAAATCATGTTAATAGGTCAAATCTGCATCCTAAAATTCAGAACCTATATATAAATATCAAATATTGAATCCGCCTCTATGATGTGTGCCAAGTGAACTAATTTAGGTACATTCCAATTATAGGAAACAGGTTCTAAGTAAAAGGCACTATACTTTATGCATAGGTGATTGGGATTAAGAATTTGATCTGCTCCACATTTGTAACAAAAGTGGCATCCACACCTGCAAATGTTAAAAACAATAATGCATCAGAACTTAAAACATTATTCACTACTTGTTAACAATTAATATTGTCTAATGCCCAAGCAGTCATCATTATCGATATCGAAGAGATACCGAGATAATGTAACACCACTTTAAACACTGTGTGGTCTATATGGAGAAAAACATTTTTTTTATGATTGTAGTGTTTGGGTTACCTTTCGCATGTCTTGACTTATTTCACATGTTGTCTGCCACCAACAACATGTAACATGTAACTTTGTCCACCAAGCTAGGGACGATGGAAAGAATCACCTAGTATTTTTTGTCTTCATTGAAATTTAAACATGAGACTTTATTGCTCTCAACCACTTCATTGACTACCGGGTTATATCCTTGGATGATTAAAACATTTTTCCAAAAACCAATTTTATTAGAAATTTTTTAAAAGCATATTCTCTAGAAAAATAAGTTCTCAGGATTGTCTAGGTTATACTATGTATTGACATAAAATAATACAACCTATCTAAATATCGTATTCATTAAAATAATACAAGACCATACAATAAAACATAATACGATATATTATAAAATAATACATAACAACCATCGAAACAAAATGTTAACAAAATCTATTAAATATGTGAGTAGTGTATTAGGGTGTGTTCAATGCCTTAAAAAATAAGGCATATGTCTTAGCCCCAAATTTGATGACCCCATTTTTTTTTAGTAATTATAGAATTATTACTAAAAGTTTTTCTTAACCAAAAAAATTATATTGTGTCTTTCTTTCTTTTAGTACATTTCGAAATATTAAAGAATGTTTAATTTTTAAATTTAACTTCCACATAACATGTTTAAAATCACAAGATAAAAAATATTTTATTATATTGTATTATATTCAAATATTCTAGCTTATGACCATAAATCTAGAAATAACTTTCTATCTCAAAAATTAAAAAATATAAAAAACTAAAAGTTAGGCCTAGTGTTTGGGTAATCTTTCGCATACCTCAACTAATTCTACAAGACACATATCGACCTCCCACTAGCAACATAAATATGTAACTTTGTCCATCAAAAATCACCTAGTATTTCTGTATGTCAACCACTTCATTCTCTTCATTTCGAGAAAAACATTTCCAAAAACCAATTTTATTAGAATTTTTAAAAACTATTTTCTCTAAAGTTCTCAGAATGAGAATGAACGATATAATTATCGAATGTTGTATTCATACCATACAATAAAACACAATACCATATATTATGATATATGGTAGCTAAGAACCATCCAAACAAAATGTTAACAAAATATATTAAATATGTGAGTAGTAACTCAGAACAATAAATCAAAACCGTCATAATACAACTCATAAATATCAACTTTATAAATATCTTCAACTTTCTGAATTCATTTTATAAAACATCTAATATTTGTAGAGGGATAGAAAACCAAAACTTGAAACCAACCTCCATAATTCATTTTATAAGCATCCATTTTATAAACATATAATATATAACCTCCATAATCCATTTTATAAACATATGATATATAATTATATTTATAAAAGACTACAAAATTAAAATTCAATTCATTTTGTAAACATATAATATATAATTATATTTGTAAAAGACTACAAAATCAAAACTCGAAACTAACCTGCATATTATATGAGCGCAACCTTTATTCCTAGCCACATAGATTCTGCATTTTGGACACCTCTGCCATCGCTTGCGCTTTGCAAGCTTCATAAGCAACATATCTTCCGTACCCGTTTCATTATTTTTTCGCAGTTTCTTAAATTCTTCACACGAAATCCCTTTATGCCATGGAACTTTACAATTAGCACAGAACAATTTCTTACATTCCGGACATTTTGAATGACTATTCACCATATATTTTTCCCTAATTTCATGAATCAAAAGAGCTAAGCAATTTTTATAAGGACAGTATAATTTCTCAGAATCCATAATCATCATCTCGCATAACACGTCTCCCCATCTATCAAAAACTTGTTTAGGAAGAATCGATCTGCAATAATAAGGTTCGTAATTCCCATTGCAACCCAAAACAGGGCACGAAATTTGTGGAATGTTCTGTTGGAGCTTCGAGGCTATGTAATTGACAGTACATTGATTGCAGTAAGAATGATTACAACCCATAATTTGAAAATTTTCAGTCATTGGCTTCTCATCTATGCAAATCTCACATATGAAGTTTGAATTATTCGACAAAATTTCAATTTCATCATCGGATATTTCAATTAAGACTTTTTCCGTTCCAGTACGGCTGCGATTTGAACGAACAGATTCAAAGTTTCTCCGTACAGCTCGTTTACGCTTACGCGTTGGAATTTCTTGAGTTGAGTGTATTACTAAAACGTCATCGTGGTAGTCGTTGTCGTCGTCGCTGATGTTTATGATTTTCACGGCGGCGGTGCAGAGTACTTCCATTGATGAAGTAAGAAAAAATAATTGCAATAAGGTAAGAAAAATTGAAGTATAAAGGAGGTTGTTTATGTGAGTTTGTTACGTGATGGAGAAGGCAATGTTTCTTTTAGGATTGTACACAAGGTAATATTACGTACTATAATAGACTCTTGTGGTCGGGCACTTTTCCGAACCTACCCATAGCGAGAACTTTTAGTGCATAGGGCTTTCCAAAGTACTATGCATGTCTAATGGGCTGGGCCAGGCCGACTCAATTTCTGGTGTTTTTTTTTTGTTGAGGGGGTGCATGATATGGGCCGGCCCAAGCTAATAAATTAGTGTGTTGTTGTCTGGTTTCGAACCTGGGTACTTCCACAAAAATGAACCCACTTTACCAAAGGCTATCATTTGTTTTAATGGGGTCAATATTTTATTTATACTTGTTTTTTTTCATAAAACAACTATACTTATATATGTCGTGTATTTTTTTTACAAGGTGGGTTCATATGAACCCTCTTGACCCAATGTGGTCCCGCTCCTGGTGTCGAGGCAGACTCTTGTCGCCTCTGGCCGTCTAAAACACTAGGCAGACAGACCCAAAATCGGATTGAACTACCTGGATTAATCGGGTTGAATTTTTTATGGGTCGGGCAAGGTGTACTCTATGCCTATCTAATGGGTCGAGCTGACATCAAATCAAATTGAATCGAATCAATTTCTATCCGAACCGAATTAGTCCAATTTATGAGACTATTGAACTCTTCCCTCCAACAAGGACCCAAATTGACCGGGTTGAATTTTTTACGAATCCGAGGAAGTTAAACTATGATTATCAAATGGGATAGACCGACTGACAACAGGTTGAACTACCCGAATTGATAGGATTGATTTTTTTAATGAACGGGACAAGTTGTATTATGCCTATCTTACAGGTCGAGCTGACATCAAATCGAATCAATTTTCATCCAAATCGAATCAGACCAATTTATGTAACAGTTGAACTCCTCCCTTCAACCTGGACTCCGAATTGACCGAGTTAAATTTTCCATGGATCGGACAAGTTGCACTATGATTGTCTAACAAGCCAGGCCTACCTAAAATCGGTTCAAACCAACTTCCGCCAGGTCCAGGCTAGCCTAATTATGTGACTGCTTGAATTGGTCCCTCCAAGCCGGACATCGAACTGGTCGGGTTGAAGTTTTGTGAACCGGACCAGTCCGGTCCGTCCAGAACACCCTAAAGTTCCACTAGTAGTAGCCTAGTAGGATAAGTAGGCAATTTTCTTTAACTTTTTAAGTTTTTTTGGACATTTTTCTTTTTTGGAAAGTGGGACCATGAATAGCTATTAAAAAAAAGTTTTTTAATTAAAAAAATAAAATAAAGGAAAAGATCAAAATTGTCCCATTGGAAAAATCGAGCAACTTTGTTTTATATGTTAAAAAACTTTGATTTAATTTTGTCACCTACTTTTGGAAAAAGTTTCGGTTTTATATTTAACCTTAAAATAGTTTTACCTTGAGAAATTTTATAAATCATAATGAAAATTTAAGGGATATTTTTAGAATAATTAAAATACGTTTAATCGACTTATTTCATGCTCAAATTTTGTTAATAACATGAGCAAATATTCGACAATTTACTAATTGCAAAGATATTAAAACAAAACAATTTTTAATAGAAGGGGGCAATTTTGTACCTTTTCCCCTTTTTCATATTATACATAGAGATATTTATAGTATTTGTGTTTAATTTCAGAGGATAAAATTATAACTTTTTTATATAGTACGTATCACATATGTTGTTTATGGTCCATTTCTTTGTTATACCATCTTTCACATGAACACGAAATATGGGAAATGTACTTTTGCAAATTCGTTAATCTGAATGTCATTTTCTTTAAATACTAGTAACACTTTTACATTAAATAGGATGGCAAAAGTAGGTAAGACATACAATTTTCTTTTAAAAAAAAACATAGATTTACTTCATTTATTATATTACAAAATACATAGCCTTTTTCCCTTTGTGTATTACAAAAGTAACCACTTTATAACCTTTTCCCTTTGTGTATTGCAAAAGTAACCACTTTCATCATCCATTATTACTACTTTTTGCAAATATGTCCACTTTTTAAGTGCTAGAATTTTTGGACTTGAGAAAAGATCCACTTTTGGTTATTTCACGCAAAGGTTTGTCAGTAAATCTGATTATATTGTAAACCCAAGCACCAGCAATGGCCCCAAGTGTTGGGCTGACCAAATAAATCCATAGGCCTTTGTAATGGCTTGACACTATTGCTGGGCCCAAACTCCTTGCTGGATTCATTGATGCCCCCGATATCGGTCTGTTCCACCACAACTCATTAGTACGTAAGAATTAACCTAAATAGCTGCTCGTTCAAACACTTAAGTTACACATAGTTGATTGATAAACAACAAGAACATATCCAATGTAATTTCATACGTGTTGAGTTTGGAGTGGGATTTGGGAGGGGTGTATGCAGCCTTACTTCTAGTGAAAGTAGAGAGACTGTTTTCGATAGCGTATCAAAATCAAGTATGGAAAGAAAATACTAAAATGAAAGTCGGCTAGTGTATATTATACGCGTAATCAATATCTAATTTATGCATGTCAACTAAAAAAGGAGTTTACTTGTGGAATTTGATTAATTAGATGTATATTATGCATAAAATTTTATACCTATGATTATTTAGGTGTAAATATCTTGAAGTTTTACTCGTAGAATTTGAAATTCACGACAACTATTTTACAATTAATTAGAGAGTAATTACCCGGTAAACATCACATTTAGCAAAATTGTTGCCCCCACAGCAAGACCAGCAAGTTCTCCAATCTGCAAATAATAAACATGACAAAAATATTTTAATTATGGAACAATAAATGTTCAAGAATCCCTAAGCAATTTTCTAATTCAACTAATAAAATTACTTCAAGAAATTAATTCGAAATAAATTAATTTACTCTAATATTAACATAACTTTAGCATGAAATGAATGAATTACACGTGTCCAATTCTATATTAGAGAGAAAAGATTCAAATCAACCCTTCAACTTCTGATTATGGTTTAAAATACCCTTATATTATAGTTTCATTAGATGCCATATATTTTTATTCAAAAATAAATATATATTTTTTTAAAATTTTTTTACTCTTAATAAGATAATTTTAGAGCACAAAAATGTTTATGATTCGCTTTAGACAACAAATTTCAAAATCATTTTCACTTCGATAAACTCTATGTTCAGTCAGATACCACCATATAAATTAGGAAAAAAAGATTACTTACAGCTCGATTATCGGTTGCAACACCGGAGATGACGAACATGAGATAGAAAGTAATTATAAATTCAACGACAAAGGATTGAAAATCGGTGCCGGACGGTAAGGTTCCGGCGAAGTGATCGTGTTTTCCGTTGAATATTAATCGTAAAGTTCCACTTGCTAAGGTTGCTCCAAGAACTTGAGCTGCTACATAAGCTGGTACCTTAAAAAAGGAAAAGATATATTTGTCTTAAAAATCTTCATTTTTTTTCGACGGTGTTAATATATTATCAATCTCTTAAACTTGGCAGTAAAGTTTATTTAGATACTCCTCGAACTACATATTATCTCAGTTGAACATTTGAACACATAGTAAAGTGTTCACCGTTCATATTAGACATTTGTAGCTTAAATTTTTTAAAAAATTATGTATGTGTTCTCAAACGTTCATTAACGTAGATAAATTAATCGTCTCAAATATGTCACCTCCTTTAGTTATATATATAATCATCTTTCATTGAAATAAGCCTGAGATTTTACGACATATTAAATCATATAGCTCATATACTCGACCAGATGCTCAATCAAGACAAGCAACTACAACTCATATGTGTAAATGAAAGTTAATTGATAAGTTTAAGAAATTGTCAATTTTTAAAAAAAATTGTGTCCAATTAAATTATGTCATATAAATTGATAAAGTTGCCATATGATCAGCAGGTCATAAGTTTGAGCGATAAAAACAATCTTTTGCATAAATACAAGGTAAGACTGTGTATAATAGACTCTTATGGTCAATCCTTTTGGAGTCCCGCACATATAGAGAGCTTCACTGAACTGTTCAAAAAACATACTTATCTAAATATTACGTCATATAAATTGAAACGGAAAGAATACCTGTTTCCAAGGGAACCTTTTGACAGAGGCAAATGCAATAGTGACAGCAGGGTTAAAATGTGCACCAGAAATATGGCCAACAGAGTAAACCATAACCATTACAACAAGTCCCCAAGTTATGGCTATTCCTGGAAATGTTATCATCCCTTTATCTGCATTTACCACAACTGATCCACATCCAGCAAATATCAAGAAATATGTTCCTATCATTTCTGCTATTATCTGTAAAATTCGATCAGTGTAATTTTATAAGTAACGTCTGAAATAATCATAATTAATCAAATCATATATTTGATCAGTAGAATACAACAAGTGGAGTTAGGAATCGTCATAATTAATCAAAATAAGAAAAGATATATACATCAAATATTCAAACTAGCTAGATACCATCCAGGATTATGCTGGAATGAATAAATAAAGGAAAAAATATTGATAGAAAGAGTTTTTTTTTAAAAAAAAAAATAGGCCTTACGTGACACAAACTCAAATTTATCGGGCCACAAAACAAATACAGGAACGTCATAATAATCGGATGTAAGAAATTATTCTATCTAGATGTTCTTTTTATAAATAACCATTTAAACTTTTAGATGATATAATCGTAATAGACAAAAATTCTAGGCTCGTGTCTCACCATCATTTTTCATAGAAAAAATTGTAATAGTTAATTATATATTTTTTTTCACATACAAAAAATTTACTAACAAGAAGATTAACTAAGATGTTAAGTACTCACCTTTTGAATAAAAGGAACAGTAAGAAAACTTGAGGTTGAAGAAGACTCCTTGTGATTATTCAAATCATGATCTTCTTTAATATTTAAGCTTACTCCATGATTAATATT